AGTATCTTCGTTGATGAGTAATTTCAGTCCGGCATTTTACGAGAACGTTTTGAAAGTATGGAAACTGGTAACGTATAACCAGGCACGAGCCATATTTGGGTTCACAAACGAGGATTCAATTGGCAAAGTAGCATTTCCAGCTATTGAGGCGGCACCCTGTTTCAGCAGCAGTTTTCCGCATGTTTTTGCTGGTCGAAAAGATATTCCTTGCATTGTTCCGGCGGCCATTGATCAGGTTTCGGAAATTTTTTGATTCATTCATCTGTTTGTTTTTGTGGTGGTGTTGTTGGAGTACCGCAAATAACGATCGTCATTAAACTATTTGAAGGATCCTTATTTCCGAATGTCACGTGATGTTGCGCCTCGCCTGAAGTATCCGAAACCTGCGATGATCTACAGTTCATTCCTACCAGCTTTGCAAGGGGCAAAGAGTAAAATGGCTGCATCAGACGCCAATTCGTGTATTTATATGGATGACACACCAAAACAAATCAAAAACAAGGTTGTTGCTTATTCGTGATGCCTTTTTGGTATTGCTGCCTGTACTTGTTATTATTATTCGTGACATCTCTTTCATGATATCTTTTTTTTGGGATTATCTCCATGGAACTGTCGGGTTGTATTTCGTTAGCATTTCTACGAGCTAGCAATGGATGAAAACTATTTTATATTCCAGCGCATGTGATATTTCTAATTTGTCTATTTCTAATTTGATATTATCTATTTTTCTCTGAATTGTTGTGCTCAAATTTCATTTGCTTCTGAGCAACTTTGAATCCAACAATTTTAGCGATATTTGCATTAGATAATATTATGCGGTAGGGAAATTACTAGGAAATTGTCAATGGATTCGTATTTTTCATATTCTCAGCAATGTGTTGTGTATCGTGGTGGTAATGGTTTGAAATCGAACGGAAAACTTTCGATGTGCATTCGTTGATGTGTTCACGTTGCAGATCAATAAATACGCATTTAGTGGCGGTCGTGATACAATTGAAGAACATCGCAAATTGGGTGGTAATTGCGAGGTGGACATATCGTTTCAATTTCTTCGATATTTTATGGAGGACGATGACCAATTAGAGGATATCCGAAAGGTTTTATTTGTTTATTTGTTAATATAACTTGCAATTGCTTGAATAGAAACTTTTTGTATTCAATGGTTCTGTGTATAGTTTTCTATCATACGACTTTTTTGATCTTGTGAACAAAATTAATCTGCATGATTTTTTGTGCCGTTCAGTTGAATTTTTCTCAGATCATCTACTGTGTTATTACAATTAGCAAGGTTCTGAGCGTATCAATCTTCTCGGTTCTCTCAAGAGTGGTTTGTGGTAACGAAAATAGAGTACTAGATTGAACAATATCGATAATTGAGTGCAAATTTTAACAATACAAGTATTTCAGCGTTATACTAGTGGTGAACTCTTAACTGGTGAACTGAAAGCAATTGCAATCAAAGAGGTGCAAAGGGTTATCGGTGAACTACAAACACGTCGAAAGCAAGTCACAGACGAAACCGTAGAGCTCTTCACAACACCACGAAAACTGAAGTATAATTATTGAAAGTTACCGAAAGAAAACTGAAGTATATCTCTATTAGTTATTCACTCACTCCTTTCAGTCTGGTGTTTTGTTGTTTTCTCCTTTTCAATTTTTGAAAGGAACTGACAGTTGCACTCAAAGGAATGATTCCGAAATGAGGTCCCTCTGATGTTTCCCTGAACCTTAAACAGGATTATGTTCATTCCGAATGTGTTTAAATGTTTTATTGTTGATGATGTGACTCTAATTGTTTGTGGCGTTGAAGGAGCTATTCAGTTCGTGTTGGAGAGATCCTTTTTAAAGAATTCATTGCGGATCAGATGTACTTAATAATTCTTTACGTGTGAAACCAACAAAAGTGACAGTTTCATTGTTATCTGTTTGTTGGTTGCTCTCTCTGTGTGCGCTTGATATGCACTCGTTTTTGGTCTTTGCAACTCGATAGTTCACGTTATTTATTTTTATTCCACTCACTGTTTATGAAGATACCGTAAAGCACTTAACGTGTTCATGTGTAAATGGTAGGAATCAGAAATCTGTTCGTTTTAAAGGGGAATAATCTGCTGGGAAATTTTTTAAATGTGCAATACTGTTTTAGATGTGATTACGGATGAGGGCTTCTTTTTTTTGCATGTTGTTGATTTTGAGTTTAATTTTAGGATTTGAAGTTGTGTGATGATGCCGTATTTATTGTGTTGTTCCATCAAAAGAAAAATCGAAACTTTGCATGCATAATGATGGAACGTTGTTTTTTTATTATGAAAAATTTTAATTTGAAAGCGTTTTGTTATTTGTTATATTTTCGCTGTAATGTTTTCATTGTGTTCCTTTGGGTCATTTCGATTTTTCACTTGCTTCTTTTTGTTTTCGCTTTTTAGTGGATGTCATTCGCTTTCTGTGTGCTGTGTTGACCCCGTATTGTTCTAACCAAATCACGTGTGATCGATGATTGATCGGTGATTTTCCGCAAACGTATTTGAGTCGTTTCAAGTGCTCACATTGAAAACTCAATTGTTACATAGAAATGTTGAAGTGACTGGATTTGTCTGAAGACATGAATGAATATTATACAGGTTTGATGGAAGAATTTCTTTTCTGTCGAGCTTTTCCTCTAATGGTGCAACTTTTTATGTTATTTTGATAAATTAATATCGATTCATTGCATCCTAAACATCGTGCAAGTTTGAAGAGTAATAATGATGGTTCTAAAGCAATCAACAATGACACATTTCTTGGGAACAACCGAAAAAATGTATCATTCATTTTCGCAAATTGATCGTAAGCCCTTTGAAAGCGTTTCCTCCAAGAGCATTTGAGATTCATTGATGAATTTCACTTTCACGACTGTCTTGTAATGAAATAAGCAACAACTGAAGATATACTTGAATGAGTTCATTCATTTCTACCTGTGAATACAGATCATCTATGATATATGACATCCTCCTAAAAGATTAACGAAACATAAACTTAACTCAAGAATGAATCTGATAACAGTAGTGTAATCAATATTCATGATGATCATTGGTTTTTCGGTTATGAGACAATTACAGCGTTTCTCAAGAAATAAAGCTCAACGACAGAAAGAATCACTTCACAATGTTAACAATCAACTGACTGATCAATTAAAAAACCATATGTATAGAGATTGTGAAGCACTTTTAACATATAACGAACTATTTCGATACTGAATCGTGCATTCCGTCTATAAATTTACTTCGTCGTTACTCAGCAACAATCATACATTATTAAGGTTTATAGAAACACGTCGTTAAATCGCTATCAAGCTCCAACCAAATAATTTGGGAGAATTGAAATTAAAAACATTTATTAGCATCGAAATGCTCGTTCACCTACCCGCACCATTCACCAATTTTCATTCTCAATGGATCAGTATGCTGTAAATCTCAACTATTTTCTTAAACATCGCTACATTTAAATGCTCACAAATGAATCTATTCATGATAAATTTTGGACTTCATTGGAAGGTTGATCATTCTAGAATCTAGTTGACTATTAATCTAGTTTACCGAATACACGATTCAGAATACCCGTAAATAATAAAACTGATCAAAAGCATATACAATTACAATGAATGGCATTACATTGAGACAATAAAGTATACATTACTCATCAGTAACATTATTAATCGTATCAATACAATGCAATACAGAGCGATGAAATTTTGTTACGTGCAAATTTTCGTCAGCACACAAAAACGTCAGTTACAATTCAACTGCTAAAGAGACAACATTAAATTTCTGAAATGACAATGCAAATGAAATACTATGTATGGTACACAAAGTGATCATATAATCAACTGATCGAATACTCAAATCAACACGACCACATCACAGAAACAATCCACTATCCACACACTATAAAAAGAGTTGCAGCACATTAAAAATGGTTCCTTGCATTGCGTTTCCTAGTCCAATCAGTAATTCCCTCTCTCTCAACACAATCTTCAGCATATCCTCTAAATCCTGATCTGTCAACATCTCATTCGTTATTCGAGTGTTTAATTCATCAGCTAAATTGCATAATTTTGAAATTGTTCCATGAATAAGAGCACGTCCACTACCAGCACTGAAAATCATAACAACGCTTCATTTGAATCAAACAATAGCAACAAAAGGAACGATACGAATAATCAATCGCATATTAATTATAAGAACCATAGTAATGACTACGTAATATACGAAAAAGATTCAAAAACTAAATGTTATCAATGAATGAGAATGACGAGAAAAATTTTCTCTTCAACAATGTTTCATTGAAAAAACCGTAATTAAAAAATCGCATCACTGAAAGAAGAATAAAAGTATATCCATGAGAAGAATGGAACGTTCTATAATACTGAGCTTTTATTAAACTCACTCAGTCAACGATAAAATGATTCGATTCGTCATCATCACCAAGAACAAAATTCAAAAAACAACAAAAACAAAACAAACGTCGAAACAATGTGTTCGAGTTGTGAGTTCAGCGACATGAGTACTTCACGCGCTTCATTTATTGTTGACGATTTCAACACAGAGCACATCTTTCTAGCGAACAGTGATTGTAACTGCAATCATTCAATTCACATACACACATTTTTTCCTGGCGATTCAATTTCTTTTCAAATGACTAAACATAACAAGGATACAACGAATGACTACATATTACGCTTGGCTAGACTGAATCACCGCTGTGAATTGACACTCTCTCTGCGAAGAATGACACATGTAATATAAATCGAAGAATTTTTCGCAAAATGCACAGCATTGCTCTGAAAAGTCTTAACGAATAAATGTGTGAGTATTTCTTCAGCGACGTTATTAAATTTGAACATACTTTCCCTACATTCTTGCTTCTCGAAAATGAAAACAAATTTTAAAAAATGAAGTTGAGATGACTGAAAAGTAACTCACATGAGTGAATAGAATTTCGGCCATCACCGTCAGAGGTTGTGTCGTCAGGCATATCAAATGATGCAATTTGCGTTGATTGAACGCAGCATTTCCATCAACTTTATCATCTGTAAATATTCAAAAATCATGCGATTCGTTACTTCATACGAAAATGCTTCGATGGATTAACAAAATTGATGAGATTTGCTGTAACGATGGCATATGCGAATTCGGAAGAAATTCTCCATTCGACAAACGCAATAAAACAATCCTTTGCAATGTTGAGCACTATGATCATGCGAAAAGAATTTTTTAAGTTCACTTCAAATCCATTTCCTCAACCTTAGATTAGAGATTTCTTAAGAGGAATAAAATACAGGTTTGTTTGGCGAATATGAAACGTGCAACAAGCACGTGACAAACAGAAACAAAAAGCAGAAGAGGGAATCAAATTATGAGAATATAAAACAAGACTTAAAAAACATCAACTGATTAGAAACTTACAATTAATACGAATCTGTGAGAGTATTTCTTTGGAGCGCATCAGTTTCAACAAAAATCGGATACAACGATTCGCCGTCTCAATAAAATGATTATCGACGATCAAATTAATGGGCCATGGGAGCTGCAACAATGATACTAATAAAAATACGATTTGTCGAATCTATTCATCAGATATTGTCAAGAACTAAGAACAATCTGATCGCTAAATGCACATTAGCTAATAAGCGAACCGATAGATTCTTCACTTTTCATTTGCTTTTATTGTTATTCGAAAATTGTGCCCGCATGAAAAAGCAATTCCAAACCCGTATAAAATTTCATTCTTCTGTGCTCCATATAGCTGGCTATCTATTCTGAGTGTGCCATTTTTAAACCGTATGCATTTGCCAACTTGACGAAGCCTTCTGATTTTTTGCGATCAGAACCGGCACTAAACGTTAACGATCAACAACTTCTCATTAGTGCTGAGTCTGTAACGAACGGACAAGCGTGCATTAAGAGAAAACCAACCCTCGGTGTTATACACAACTGCTCAATCGTCCCATTGCCATACGTTACGTACCATTTGTTTGCACGTTCCTCGCTGAATCCAGACATTTGCAAACTGTTGTAGAATGAGATGACTATATTCGACAGCTGCGTATCACGTGTCGCACCGAACAGGTCGAATGCAAATTCTCGTACAGCAAAACCCGTGAAGATCAACTGCAATCCATTGTCATTTTTGAGTTTAGACTCTGATTTCATCACCAATCAACTCTTTTCCTCTGTTTAACATAAATTGGAGAAAGTTCACTCTCCAGCANTCAATTTCTCGCATGACCGTATCGATTGCACCGTTTTGTTGAACGAATGAGAACAGTTGTTTGGCGTTATCGTCAGCACAACGTGCTGCCGCATATTCAGCACTCATTATGATCGCTGAAGCTTTCACAAATTCCATACCACCGTGATTCGGGTAGAGAGCATCCGTGAAATAAGTCGAAAATTCTGAAAGTATCGCAGCATTCGAAGGATTCAAATATCTCTGATACCAATACCATGAAAACAGCAAAATCTATTTGTTCTCTGTCAGAGTATCAGTCGTTCAACCATCCACAAAAATCCGACAAACCTGATATTACTATCATTTTTTTAAATGAAACTAATGGGTAATCTAGAGTATAGCATTTTTGGTATTTATTATTTAGTAGAGCATTTTCAGTTGAGTAGATCATTTGGGCATTTTTGAGTTTGGGCTCTACCTGATGAACAGCGCAAACTTACTTGATAAAACTTTTGCATTGCTGTTATGTCGAAGTTGCTTGGCGTCTCGTGAACCCTCGATGACATTTTTGATCAGCTCTGCAGTCCAGAACGAGCATGCAGTTGATCGAACACCTAACACATTCAAATGTTTGCTGCCATCCAAACTGAAATTTCTCACTTCGGAAACAATCTATCAAACGTACACTCACCGAATACAAACATACANAAATATCGTTTCAGCACCGATATGAACGCCACTTGTAGACGACGAACAATTCGTTTCTTAAATTCAACAAACATAAACAACGCCACAATATGTCACCACCATAATATGGGAATAACAAAACACCGAAAATTTTTTGATAATTATCGACTTTTAATATTGTCTACGTAAGTGCAAAAAATCCGGTACAAATCACTTCTTTACTCATCTTCAAGCGTACTCTGACTGATAGGAAAATTTAGAGTTCCAATCTAATCGTAAGAAGCTTTCAATTTGGTTACGTGCAAAATAGCGAATGAGACCCAGTTCTGCATTTCACTTTGAACAGTTTCATCAAGGATCACAGCTGTCGGCATTTTATCTCTGTTTGTTCGATCAAAATCCGCAAAACGATAAGAGTATCGAATCAAAACCATAACCAACGTACGTACCACAAAAACACTCCTTATTTCGGCGAAAGCAGTCAGTCGAAGAAATCGTTCAATGAATTTATCAACCGTCTCATAATTCCACAAATCCTCACTGATTACATTCGACACACCATTATAGACGATCGTAAGTGCTTCCAGTTCATTACGAAGTGAATGTGTTAGCATATGCAAACCTTCAAAATANAAAGAATGGAATGGAGAATAGTAAAATGATCGTCAAAAAAAAGATATAAGCAAATGATTTGGAAACATACTCAGAGATTTATCGGTGTACTTCTTCGAGATTGTTGAAGCATGCTCACTGAGGAATTTAATGATTAACTCTTGAAGGACTTCAACTATTTTTGAGTTCGTTCCCATTCTGTTCGAGAATTCAATTAACGCTGACAACTGCCGATGAGGTTCGATGAACGGTATCACGTAAACAGTTATCTGAAATCTGATAACCTTCACCAACTTTAACCCATTGCCGAATCGAACTTAGACTTGTCAAATACAGTGAAAATCATTTTCAAACTATTGCTGATGGGAATAACTATTGAAAAATTGTTTGAAGACTGCGTTCAAGAATCAAATCAAGACAATTTTCTGTCTCATTTATGAACAACTGAAATATCACTCTCTACTTTACATCTGACCAGAACCACACCTCAAAGAATCTTACTAACCGGTTGGACACTAGAGCCAATTCGACAAACATGACTGCTGGAATCAATTCCATACGTTCCGTCGTTCTTTCGTATCAAAAATGGACAATGTTTGTTCAGATCAATCGCACTGAAAATTGAAATTGGTCAATTCAGAACTGATTGAATCTAATTTATGACTTCTTTGCCAGCAATCTCTTCATTCGTTGACGACATCAATACAAAACAAATCTGATGATAATTGAAATATTTTAACACGTTTGTACGAAAAATTATCACCCAAACACCAGTTTATTTCTTCTATGAAACTTACATTCTCAAATTTTATTGAAAGGATTTTGAACGCAATATTTGGATTTTTTTAAAAATTTGTTCCAATTTGTGTTCACCAATAAGTTAGATTGCATTCAGTGATAAATGTGTTCTTATCGAGATTCAAGTCACGACAAGCTTGAACATACTTTAAGGACTGAAGAACAATAACAACAGTAAGTGAAGAAAACTTCGAAAGGAAACTAATAAAAATGAAAACACCTCAGAATTTGATTAATCAACTCCGATTCCGTCCACTCGATAGTTCCACTAGAATACCTGTAAGAGAATTGATTTGATTTTTTTTGATCAATTATGAATGACTACCCCTTTCAAAAATTGCATGATTATTGACAATCTTTTGAGATTTGGTATTAGATCACGATTATGAAGTGTTGGGGAGCCATCATGATGAGATGAGTATTCGACGAGATAAAACTGTTCTTATGAGCCAAACAGATAATCTATCCGGAGTCTCGGCAGCTCTTTTATTGGATTTTCTAACGCTTTATGCTCGAGTCATTTGTATGCAAATGAAGGCACAACGGGCACTCTTTTTATATTGATCCGTAAATCTTTCATCGGTGATAGAATGAAGTAAAATTAATTCCACAGCAATCAGCTTGAAAAAATTCCCTTTTCATCATGAAAATTGTTCGTTCATTCAGAACTCAGTCAGAAGAATTGCTTCACAATTTAGTCAATTACAAGCTTTTGGAAATCAAATTGAAGGTTGAAGTTAAAAATTCAAAGACTTCATTTGAACTGAATTTTTCGCTTCCACTGATGTTGCTGCATCATAAACACTGATTCAATATGATCCAGGATTGGAGTCCCTTTGTCAACAATCCGTAAATTCGATTTGGCATCACTCTTTTAGAACCGAAAGCCTCTCTTGACTCCAGTAATTGCTCTACTTTGATGGATTCAGAAAAAAAACCAATTTTCATAAATTAACTTAGGCAATGAGTTAGGAAATGACGATGAAAATGTATCGCATACTTTGCTTCATGTGCCTTGATGATATTCTCGATGAAAGCAGCAGGTCTCCTTTCAACGAAACTTTTGAACATCGGTGAAACAACACTCGTCTTTTGTTGTGATTTCAGTTTGTGTACTGTGTTCAATCGTCTTCTGCTTATCACCGGCGACTTGTCACTTATTTCGACAATTTTCACCGTTGATGTCGCCTCCTCATCATCCTTCAAATAGGATGAACATCACTTAAATTTTTTGTCAAAATGGAATGAATCTGTTACAATCTCGAATAATGGATTGTGCACTTACTTTTGGAATTGATTGTATGATTAACTGAAATCGAATAACCCATCGAAAAATTCACACCCGCTATTCAAAAAATTCTTTACGCTCCTCCGAAAATTTCTATTCTCCTCAAAATTATTTTCCATCCACATCGTTTACCATATTCCTTAATGCTCAGCTTTTCGTTATGCAATACTGCTGAATTTCAATAACAGTAGGATTTTTTTCAAATTCACTCAAATTTCTGCGACTTATTGGTTGAAACTTACACGATCATTTTCAGTGAAGTTACGACGAGGCATGTTAATTCCGCATAAACCACGAAATCAATGGTATCACCGCAAAACACTCGTCGTCTTATTATACATCAGATGTTTTAAAAATTTGATGAATGAATTAAGCTGCTCGTGTGCAGGAATTTGATTGCGAAAGTCTGCTTGCGAATAGATGGATGAATGTGAATAGGCCTGAAAATTCAACGGTCAAGTCTTGAATCCAGAAGACCATCAATATTCCATGCGTATAAAAAAATTACGTCGGTTGCATCGAAAAATGCTTGTCATCACTAACGGCATTAGCGTGATAACTAGCCGTCATAGACATAGAGGCATTTCGCCACACAGCACCCAAACACTTGCCATTCAACTGCCAGAAATTACAGAGTATGGGTGAGTTAGCATTATAATGAAGAGAACAATGGTTAGCGATGTATAAAAAATTCACTACTTTGACAATTGGTCTACAACAGAACGTTTACGTGCGAGAAAACTTTTTAACCTTTCAAGGAATCGCACGTTTTAAGAAGATATTGAGATTCTCCCGGATCAGCATTTGATGACAGTTATGAGGAATATGAACAAAACTGGATAACTGGATTACGAAGGTGCACAACGAATGCAACACGATATAAAAGAACGAGGATGCTGGAAGAATATTGCGAGTATCAGCAAAGGATCTCGTAATAATGTGATCATATTTTGTGATATTATGTAATGTAACGACACATTCATAAGATCAGATGTCGTGAAAGCCTCATTACTCTCTGCGAAGAGTGAGGGATGTATAAAGATTAACGTGTTGTTAAGTTCTGACGAAAGAGCTAAATTTATAGCTCTTTCGTGTGATATCTTTCGATTGGGACAGAGTTTGGTGAGGTGCTCTTCTCTCTGGTTGGAGTTTAGGGCTTTTGGTCGGGTTTTGAATACGTTAAATTCTCTTCAACTTGTAAGTACCTCACCACTCTGACTTCGGTAGCAACCTGCCTGCTCCTGCACTTTCCGGTGTCAGCTGCCGGCACTTGCAAGCCGAACCCAAACGAGAGGTATCTAAGGCTAGTTGTTTCGTGAAACGGAGATGGGGACTCGGCCTTTCCCCCCGTCTAAAAATGAAAGTGAAAGTTTTTTTGTGACACTCGAAAATTCAAGTTGTTTACATTGATTCACTTGATTCGTTTTTTTTTCTGGGAAGTTGATAATTTAAACGGGAAGTGATGTGTGTTATGATGAACACATCTTGTGTTACGATATTGATCATGTGTTACGGAACAGTAGCGGAAGGAATTCCTAATTACTTCTTGCAAACTGTGGAAAGTGGAATGAATCATGAGATCTCTGAAGAACTTGTTCAACACTGCTGAATGTAATCCTATTTGAATCGCGAAGCCATGAGAAGTCATCATAGTTCTTCAATTAAATTTTTTACAAAATAACTGCACAGAACATATCAGGTAAAACCTACATATGAAGTACTACAAGAGCATATCGATGGAATTTCTATTACAGTGAGCGTCAAAATGGCAATTTGTTTGATAATTATCAGCGTTTAGTACTGTTGGATTATTATTGTATCCATTTGTTTCAATCTGTGCACAGTCTTTAATGTTTCATGCGAAGACACTCAATCAGTGTGTTAGCGATTTGAGAGAGCGCGAAAATTGACTTATTTGCTGCATTTTGATGAGGAATCAATG